TTGTAATACCTTTACTTTATATAAAATTGGTTCCAATAAGAAAATAGTTACTTATGATATATTTTACAGCTTAATATTTCAACTGAATATATGTTATTACAGTTAAATGATTCTTTATTCTAAATCACAGATTTTCAAACCTACATAAGATTTCTCTCTGCTCTTTCTTCTCTTCTGATGGAGACTTAATAGTATAATTTCACATATACTTATTTAATATTGTACACAATTTGTCTGTTTGCATAAAAATGAATGTGCTTTGCAGTTTTGCCTAGAAGTAGTTTTTATCATTATTATATTAGATCTTCTCAATAATGAAGTGTGTTCGGGTCGCAAATATTCATTTTTTAATATTGGCTTGTGATATTTTTCAGTTGTGCTCATCTGATTTGTTCGGGCCATATATCTATCTATCTATCTATCTATCTATCTATCTATCTATCTATCTATCTATCTATCTATCTATCTATATATATATATATATATATATATATATATATATATATATATATATATATATATATATATATATATATATATATATATATATATATATATATATATAAATATAAATATTGACCTGTGATATTTGTCAGCTGTGTTCATAAGCAAAAGAGGACGTGTCATCATGACCCTAGTGAGATATTGACATTTGACCTTATAATGAATATACCAATATCTTTTTTTAATTTCAAAAAGTGAATTTATAATTATAAATTGCATTTTTTTAAACATGCCTAAATAGAGACTAGTGGTATTTGCAATGGGGCTTTAATTTCGTGTATCGTCATATGACAATGTGCCTTGTATTGTCATGAGTTTGACCCTTGATTTCATATCATTTGTGTTAAGAAATTTATCTAGATTTGGCTTTTATCTGTTTACATAACTATGCTCTTGGAATGTCATCATTTTGGAAAATGCAATCAACGTTTCTATATGTAGCTAAACGTTTGAAATATCACAAAGGGAAATTTAAATTGTGTTCTAAATTTTGTATCTTTATTTGTTGAATGTTTTCTCTTAATTGATGCATCTACTTAAAAAATTTACTTCTGTCACAGTTCTGCAATGTTTCGTTCCACATATACCCGTTACAACACTCGTATTTCCCATTCCTCCTGTACAACAGAAAGCAATGGATATAAAAAGTACCGTGTATGTCTGAATACATGAAATATAATACTGTAAATCTGTTTAAAAATTGTACATCAGAAATATAATTTACTATTGCCCATAAGTAAACATAAAATACACAAACGCATGCAGAAATTCAAATATTATATGCGACTTGTAGGGTCAACGGACAGGGTTAATTTTCACATATATGTATCTTAAATGTCATGCATACAAAATGTTACTATAACACATATCTATTGATTTATTACTTACTAACACTGTGTACATTTAAATATTGAAAATATCTGAAATCCACGAATTGAAATGTTACTTTGATTACATGTCATATAAAATACTGATTAAGGTAACGTTATATTTGACCATCAAGCACTGAATATCTAGGGGGAAAATACTCTAAAGATAGGTTAATACTATAAGTTTTAAAAGCTTTGAAATAAGTACAATACTTACAAGCAACAAGAGAAGCCAAACCTTTTCTCATAATTAGCATTAAACTTATTACATGTACTTACCCTATATAAACGCGAAACTTTCGCGTTATAACGCGAAACTATCACGCAAAATTATCTTTACCTACAAAATGAGCATTATGGGATTTTTTTTTTTTACTTTTTCCCATTAACAAAAAACGCGAATTAGAATTGCATAAAGAAAATGATAAGTTGCTTTATTTATTAATCCTTACAAAATCTGAGCCAGGTAAAGAAAATTGTGTTTTTCCTAAAACTTTTCTGCAGGGGGACATTTAAATAAATGATCCTGAATTTTTGTTTTACATGGGAAGGGCTGGGGTCCATCCCATTAAAAAAAAATCAATCCAAATATTTCTTGACAAGCAAAAAAAAAAAAAAAAAAAAAAAAAAAAAAAAAAAAAAACATGAAATCCATTTCCCATTCCCAAACGTGAAAACACCTATTTCGTGGAGTTGATGGTGGGGTCCATCTTTTCTATCTTTTCTAGGGGGGGGATCCCAAGTCATTTGTATTTGCTTCAGTATATACTTCTAATAACTCTTAAAATTCCAGGGGGTCGGATCTCCGACCCCCCTCCAGATCCGCGAATGCGTTCATATTCCTGTTAACTATATAAAAAAATTCCTACCCGTCATTCTTGTATCAGATCGGTGTTGTATTATGCGATGTTACTAGCGGGTACAAAGATCATTACAGATTAAAGTTTCACATTATCGAAAATATACATATTATCAATTATTTATGGGGTTTTAAATTAACATTCTCCAATCAAGATAATTTATAGGAAGTTCCGGACGTAGGTTTTTTTTCCCAAAGAAATTGAGTAGCAAAAAAGTGCCAGAAATACAACCTCAACTTTGGCAAAACAGGGCAAAAAGTGAGGACCTGTCAACATTATAGCAAAAATAACAGTGAAAGACTACTATCGTTAAAAGTGGAGAGTGCTACCGCCCCCCCCCCCCCCAACACACACACACACTCTACAGGCTTGTATCCGTGATGAAAACGGACAGCTCTGAGATGCTGAAAATAACCTAACACATTTACAGGGATGTCCGCAAACCAAGATACAGACAGGAAAGTCCTCACACCTGTTCTTCCGCCGCAACAAACTGGGATGTCCGCATAGTTGTTGCTAAGAGATGCGAAGTCCAGAGCAGGGAAGACCACAAACTTGGCAGTAATAAGCAGGGATATCCGCACATTTATTGTATACTATTTAAAGCTGTGTAATGTAGCTAGTTTTACATTCCTGGCTGTACGGTATATTGGTTGTTCCAGTTCAAATCGTAAATCCTTAAACTTCTGTTGATGAAATTTCCAGACACGTAGCATCCAGGAAAGGGGCTGCCCCCCCCCCCCCCCCCACACACACACACAGGGTTTTTCTCCAACCCTAATTTGACTATTAATAAAATATAAAATTGTTCATCGAAAGGGTGGTGTGCCCCCCCCCCCTTTTTTTTAAATTGCTGTAGAGTGTCAACAGATACTCCGAAATTACAAAGATATTTTGAAAAGTAAAAAGTCTGAAAAGACTTGGAACAATACAAATAGAAAAAAGAAAACAAATGAAATTATTTATTATACAAATAAAAAAAAACATGAAACATGAAAGTCTTTTTAAATGGAAAATATAAACCGCAAATGGGAAATATAAAACAAATGAAAAATATTCGGTATCATAGAATACAATTTAAAAAATAAAATACAAATGATTTTTTTTTATCATACAAAATTAATGGAAAAGATAAAATATTTGCAACGTTTGACATGCAATAAAAGTCTTAGCTTACATGTGAATTTTGAAGTTTCAGGCAGGTTTATCGTTTTTGAAAGTCTTGGGGGCAGCCAGAGAAAAAAAAAATCAGTTAAACATGAAAAAAATGACAAAAAAAATGAAAAAAAAATTTCAAACTCGAAATTTTTTTTCCGGAGGAGGGTGGGTGTCATTATTTTTTGTAACCAAATTTTATTCAATATTACCACATTTATACCCTGATTTATGAAAGCCTATTATACGAAATCCCATAATGCTCATTTTGTAGGTAAAGATAATTTTGCGTGATAGTTTCGCGTTATATCGCGAAAGTTTCGCGTTTATTCGCGAAAGTTTTTACCCACGAAAATTAGCTCAGTGGGATTTTTTTTTTAAAGTTTAACCTTGACCACATTTTCTAAAGTTTTATTTTATATTGGATAATTATATTAGAAATATAGAATTCTATTATATATATTTTTATATATAAATTAGAATTCTAATATGTACATATTATAGAAACTACGCAGTAGTTGATGGCATGAAATTATATTAGGCTTATTACATTTGACAGGCGTTCTTGTGACAAGCCCTTTCTTTGATTATCTTGGTCTCTTGACCCTGGAGTTTGACATACGTTTGAAAAACTTAAAAAAAAAACTTTTATTATTATATTTTAATTTATTTCTTAATTATATTTGGGCAAAACATTTCAAAACTATATGATAATATGTACATGTGTTTTGCATGGTAAAATTTTGTTAGATTATTTATTCCTGTGATATTTTATGCGTGAAAGTCGAATCAAGAGTTTTATAGAGCACTCTTTATTTATTTTTTTATAAAGTATACAGTCCTGATCTTAAACAGAATTAACTTACTTTTTCATTTTGGTACAAGGATTGATGCTAATTATGATTTAAAAAACATGCGATAAATTTGCTTGATGTCGTTAGTAGACAATTTTCAAAGATTTAACGTACTCTTAGGATATACATGCATCGAGGTCCGTTTCGCAGTAATTGCTGGCACAAAAAAGACCCCCCCCCCCCACTGCTCAAAGTTTCTAAGTGCCGAGTATAAGTCTAAATTTGCAGCCCTCTACCGGTGAGTGGTGGCTTCTCTATATATGTGAAAAATTCTCGAAGGAACGATAAACAACAAACAAACAATGTAAATATTTGTTGAACTTTCCAATGTTACTTTCTTCGCTATTTCATTTTTTTGTAGATCATGCTTAAGTTAATATTTTCGCAATTACAATTTTTTGTTAAAGTTGCTTAAGTTGCTTTCTTTGCAATTTAAGTATAATACATGTTACTTATATACATATCAACATTCCATTTTGAAATTAACATAGAATATGTGTATTATTTCATCGAGTTAAAATTAAACCCATTTGCACATCTCACTCTTTTAATTGTAAACACGGTCATAAAATGTTCAGATTTAGCTAATAATTCATCATTGGTCACTTAAACAAAATGGGAAATTCCTTATTTACAAGAAACAAGGAAATTTTTAGATGAATTTTTAAAATAGTCAATTCATAGAAAATTATCAAGCAATTATATATACACGTGTATATGCTTTATTTGCTATTATCTTCCATAAAAAGATATTAGTGATGGGTGTCTTTGAAAGCAATCGACACTTACGCATTTGTGTCATAATCTGTTTCTCGATTGTAGCAGGGACACACTCACTTCAATGTTTAGGGTAAGTTTAGCTCTAACCATCAGAAGACGGTTTGGCTTCTCTTATTGCTTGTAAGTAATGTACTTATTTCAAAGCTTGTAAAACTTAAAGTATTAATAAATCATTAGAATATTTTTTCCTTGACATATATATTCAGTGCTTGATTATCAAACATAACGTTACCTTAATCAGTATTGTTTATGACATGTATTCAAAGTAACATTTCAATTCGGGGATTTCAGATATTTTCAATTTTGAAATGTACACAGTGTTAGTAAGTAATAAATAAATGTTTGTGTGCTATAGTGACATTTTGTACGCATGACATTTAAGATACAATATATGTGAAAATTAACCCTGTCCGTTAACCCTACAAGTCGGATATAATTTTTGAATTTCTACATGTGTATGTGTATTTTATATGTTTACTTATGGGCAATAATAAATCATATTTATGATGTACTATTTAAAACTTTAAAGTGTTATATTTCAGGCATTTAGACATAAACGGTACTTTTTATATGCATTGGTTTCTGTTGTACAGGAGGAATGGGAAGTACGAGTGTTGTAACGGGTATATGTGGAACGAAACATTGCAGAACTGTGACACAAGTAACTTTTTTAAAGTAGATGCATCAATTAAGAGAAAACATTCAACAAATAAAGATACAAAATTTAGAACGCAATGTCATTTAAATTTCCTTTTGGGTAACTTCAAACGTTTAGCTACATGTAGAAACATTGATGGCATTTTCCAAAATAATAGCATTATTTTAGAAACAGATAAAAGCCCACATGTAGTCTAGATAAATTTCTTGCCACAAATGATACATCAAAGGTCAAACTGATGACAATACAAAACACATCGTCATATGACGATACACGAAAGTGCCATTGCAAATATCAATAGTCTTTATTAAGGGATATTAAAAATATGCAATATATTAGTATATGAAATATATGGAGATAAGAACAGTATTCAAGCTCAAAAGTCCATTAAACAATACAAAATAGGAGCAGAGCAAACACGGACCTCCAAAAAATCAGAGATGGGACCATGGAGGAGCCGGCCGGTCACATCCACCGTGTGCTCCTTGTCATGATCGCGAGAAATAACGGGAAAATCCGTCGACAATTCAGTGTGTAAATAATGATTTATTATACATATATTCACTTTTTGAAATAAAAAAAATGATATTGGTATATTTATTATAAGGACAAGTGTCGATTTCTCACTCGGGTCATGATGATACGTCCTCTTTTGCTGATGAACACACTGACAAATATCACAGTTCAATATTTTTTTTTTTTTAAATTATGTATGGTCCGAACACATCAGCTGAGTAAAACTGACAAATATCACAGACCAATATCAAAATAAATATTTTAGCCCGAAGACAATTCTTTATTGAGAAGATTTAATATAATGATGATAAAAAAAATTACTACAAGGTAAAACTACAAAGGGACATTCATTTTTATGCAAACAGACAAATTGCGTAAATAACTAAATATGTGTTTGTGAAATTATACATTAAGTCTGCATCAGAAAAGAAGAAAGACCAGAGATAAATCTAATGTAGGTTTGAAAATCTGTGACTTGGAATAAAAAAATCATTTGACCGTAATAATATATATTCAGTTGAAATATTAATCTGTAAAATATATCATAAGTAGCTATTTTCTTATTGGAACCAATTTTATATATAAAGTAAATGTATTATAAATAAAGCGTCGCACTTTGTGATTGAAAGCCGAAGCATTAATCACAATTTATATAATACTATATAGACAATACATTTTCGTCCTTGCATCAAATTAACTCTAAAATGTTTAAAATTTTACTTATTCATATAAATGTACTGAATGTTTACAATTGGGTAATTCTAGCCGCAGAACTTTAGCCAACTGGTCTGAAGAAAAAAGGGACTCCTCTCCATTTTTGGTTGTTTGTGAGCAGTTCTGCGTCAAGGAAATCCATGTATCTTAATTTAGATTTTCAAGAACATGCAAGTTTAAAATCTGTGACAACAGCTTTTATTATCTCCTTAGTCCGTATTGAAACTAAATAAACCTACCAAATAGGTGATTCAAATTGTATGTCATTTTTTTTAAATTTTATTTTATTTGCTTTTGCTTTTGTTTGTTTGTTTATTTATTATTTATTTATTTTTTTTTTTGTTTGTTTGTTTTGGCTTACATGTATCTTGAGGAATTGATAATAGTTACGTTTTGTTAGTTTGCATTTCTCCAAACTGCAAATAATTTTGAGATTAAGTAAATTTTTTGATTCTTTTCATTTTAATCGTTTTTAATTCGTGTTCTGATCAGTCGGCACAATTATATAAATTTCTCTCTTCGACTTGCATAGTATGTCTGAATATTTTGTACGTAACAAGAGAAAAGGAGAGAGAGAGAGAGAGAGAGCTAAAATTAGTGCGCAAGTGAAAATGCAGCTTAACAAAATATTTCCATACCGGAAAACTAAAATAATGAGAAGTATTACAAATAATTTTAAGGAACGTAATTTATCACGAATTTGAAATCTGCTTTACATAATTATATTTCTAAATTATAGATTAATTTCCGTATTAAATTGCATTTTCCTGTTTCCACTTATCCTTTGCACAGCATTTTTATTTTGCACTCTCGAAAAAGTATTTATATAAAAAAAATACATTTAATTGTACGGTCCAAATACTATCAATTTACTAGCTATATATACTTACACAGACTCTTCTTGACAGGTGCTTCCGACCTTTAGAATATTTTTCGTCATGCAAATTTGATGGCAAAGCCTTCTATGGAAGGGAATTACCGCCAAAAGTCTATTTATCTTGCTTTTATTCTTATTCTGCCTACTTCTTTATTCTTTGTTATTATTGTAACTATATGTCACTTTATTGTTTTCATATTCGTCTTTATTACATTTCACTTTGAACTTTTCTCATTCTTCAATTTGTCCTTATTTCTATGTTGCTTTATTCTTGTAAATTCGTTCTTCTTTTTTTTTCAAATTGATACAGTTTCTTTAATAAATAATTATAATCATGTCTATTTCTCTCTATTACAAATATAAATTCAGTAACGCAAACCACGAAGCGCATTCAACGAAGACAAATACAAGTAGTGTGAATTTAATGCGGCATTATAACGCTAGGTGGCAGGGTGTTCGCGGCGAGTGTTGGTAAAATTAAGTACGCAAACCCGGGCCGAGGTTATTCGAGATTTTCCAATTTTCTGTCTTAATACTTTATCAATCGAACCCAAATTTTCAAGTTATGTTAGTGATAGGTTTATTTGTATACGCGGTAAAATTGCCCCGAAATGCTCAATTTTTTTTTTTAGATTTTCTCGAAGATATTTGATTTCCAAGTTGGAAAAATGGGAAGGCAGTATCAAACTGACATTTTTCGTGTTTTTTGACAAAAAGCTAATAAATTTATAAATTATTCTGATGTTAAACATTATATTTCAACTATTTATAAGCATTTTATTTCAAACGTGCTTTTGTTGCTTTAAATAACACGTTTTATGAAAATATGGGTCATTAAAACCGGATCAATGATGAAAACTCCAAAATAATTGTGTATTCAGTTCAGTCATCTGAAAAATATAACTCTATTCAAGTTATTTGTCGGATGATTGAATTTTAGTTTAATTGATATTAAAAAAAACATTAAATATTTTGATAATAACTAGTATACCCTTATTAATTGAGTTGTTTTTCAGGACCCCTATAGTACATATTCTTCCACTGAACTAACATTTCTTTATTTCAGGATAATAACTGTTCATGCGCACTCGCGTGATTCTGGGGACCGGGGCTAATCTTGTTTCGGCCAACCCATAATGCTCTGCAAAGTAGTGTGGAACGTCATGGGTAGGCGTGGCCGCAACCAGGCTAGAACGGGGCATACTAGAAACTTCCCACGGTTTTTATGAAAATATGTAATAATTTTTTGTATAGAAATAGCACTTTTCAATAAAGAAATAAATATCTCTAGTAAGCACACAGTGTTTGACATCAGAATAAATCAAAAAATTATTTTGTCAAAGTCTCGTTTGGAAAAAATACGTAAAATGTCGGCTTGATATTTGCCTACCTATCTTAGCAAATTGGAAATCAAAAATCGCAAAAAATAATTTAAAATATCGAGATTTTCAAAATATAAATACATGAATATAAATATTGGCAATTTTTACAGCGAAAACAGATAAAACTTAGAGACGTAGCACTGTTTTTGAAAGGGGCAGCCAGAGAAAAAAAGTCTTACCTAAAACTTGACAAGCAAAAAAAAAAAAAAAAAAAAAAAAAAAAAAAAAAAAAAAAAAAAAAACAACCAAACAAACAAAGAAAAAACAAACAAGAAAAAAAAAAAAACAAAAAAGAGGAAAATTGTTCAAACTCGAAAATTCTATTGGGGGGGGGGGGGAGGGGTCCAACTTCTTTCAGTACCAAATTTTACTCATACATTACTACGCACATGACCCTTATTTGACTATACTGCAACAAAAAGTGGGAAGGGGGGGGGACCAGACTTTCATTGAACAAGTTCAGTAGTAAAAAGTTATGACTATAAAATGTTTGGTGACCAGCCCCCCCCCCCCCCCCCCCGCTACCGGTGTCATATAGTGAGACTTCCTCCACAGTGAGTCCCGGAAGCCTGGCTATATAGTGAGACTTCCCCTTAGGGAAGGGGGGGGGGGCAATGACTATATAGTGAGTCTTCAGCCCTAAACGACCATAGTGAGACTTCCCCTTCCGTCTTTGGTTTGGATTTTATTTACATCGACGATGTATATATTGCATATACATGTATAGGTAATGATCTTTTATATATATATATATATATATATATATATATATATATATATATATATATATATATATATATATATATATATATATATATATATATATATATATATATATATAAGATGTATAGTTTCAAATGAATCAATATTAAAGTGCGCATTAAAAATTTATCGTGCACAGCAGATTATTTTATTTTTCCGAGACGATTCTTATCAAAAGAAAATTTAGACACAATTAATTTTACAGTAAAGAGGTCATTACCCGTAGAAACGTGCAGTTTACCTATGTTTACCTGCATGGTTAAATTAATGTTTTAATTATAAAAATCACTATTAAAATGTTTTAATTATTTATTCATATATTTATTTATTTTTTCATTCATATAGGACGGAGAACTTTCATCCAAACACTAAAAACGTTAGTATATAAACACTGTTTTACAATAAAAAAAAATATTCGGAAACTAAATTAAAGGGAAATAATCATTATATTCGTAGTCAAGTTCTTTGATTTCGTTGGCCGCACTTATCCACGTCAATGACTTTGTCAAAGTACTGGTAATGTACTACGAAACAAAAGACCAAAGAAATTACCAATCCACAATCCAGTACAATTTTGATTGCAATGATTATTGACCATCAGGAATAACAATTATTCCGAAGAACTCTGATATTTTCAAATACAAATTGTTGAATATATAGTGATGTAAATACATATACATGCTTGGCCTGGGATAATGATACATTCATTCGCTGTAAAATATATGGCATATCCCTTACCGAGTTGCTGAAAAGAAAATACAAATCGACTAGATTATTTTTGTCTGTGAATCTTAACTCTTATTTAATAATTCTTACGTAATTCTTAAGGTACATACATAAATATTTCAGGGTGTCTCCCAGGATACTTCGGTAATAACTGTACCAGACATTGTAGTCGTGGTCGATATGGAGAGGGATGCACCAACCTGTGTACAGAATGTGATGTGTCTCAATGCAATGTATCTTTTGGTTGCCCTGTATCCACTACAGGTACATGTACAGAATATTTATATAATCTGCATATATACTATGATAAAACACTTTTCACTTGGTGACATAATTCATAAATCTTCCAAAATTTCTTTTTTAAGATGGTATCTGACAATCAACATTTAATTGATTTAAATAATGTTAAACATTTTCTTTTATTTTAAGTAAACTAGAACTTATCCTGCACCTTATGATTATCTTATGGTTGCAAATGATAAAATTTACTTAGAAATTCCTACGCCGAAATTACGGGCACCAGAGATGCAAGAATTGAATCAGAGAAGTGAGAAAGTATCAATGAAATCGCTTCTAAAATCAAGTTCCAAAATTCTAAGAGAAAAAGCACAAGACATCCCATGGAAAATATTGTCTTTAGCGTTCTCCATTGCAACATTTGCCGTAGTATTGCTGTACATTGCCAAAAGAAGCTGCAAAAAACCAAACGTTGTAATGGCACCAAAAGAAAACTCCAAGGTTACATGGCCGAGCAACATTGTGGAGGGATCAAAACGTGGGTATCAAAACTACCAACCTTTGCATAATGAAGCTGTATTCAATGGAACGGCCAATGTTACCATCAACATGGATACTGAGGAGAAGAACTTTACTGTTATTTTGAAAACTGAACAATATAATGGAATGTTAACTAGACGTGACACAACAGAGCCAAAATGGAACATGGGGAACTCCATCAATGAAAGTGGAAAAATCTATGAATCGTACACAAACAGAGAAACTTCATAAAGTTGGTTGACCGTCAAACCTCTGACTTTTCTTTTCATTAGTTCTAAATGCAGTTGTAAAAAAAAAAAATTAAAATTGTAAATGTGTAGCCTCAAATTCTAGTTTGTTACAGCTACTGGCCTTTTTAAGGATTGACTCGAAATTAATCTGTGTCAGCAAGAGAATCATATGCAAGGGGTATTTGTACGAACTATAAAACATAACCCACCCCCTGCAGATAAACACGAAATCTAGCATCTTACTTCTCCATCTGTTGAAAAGGCGACAGCTTTATTTGCCATCGATACGTGGGGATATTATCACATATTTATTTTGCTACTTCGTTGGTGTGTATGGGAAGGATCCATATTTTTTAGAGTCACTTGATCTTTTTTCAAGTTATTTTGTTTTAATGTTTTGATTGGATATTCCCAATGATATGTTGTTTTTGTTTTAATGTGTTTTATGTCCTTACACTATATTACATGTATCTCTTTCATTTACAGAAATCAGTCTTGTTTATGTTTGATGTTTTATATGCATTTTTTTATATTACTTTTGAAAACAAAGTATACCATGTTTTTTTTTTTAGAGAAAGCAAAGCAATTAAAAATATGCAAAAAGTCAGACACATAATGATATTGAGGAACAAGTACATACTGATGAATAAAAAATCGTTTTATAGCTTTGAAAAAAAGTCAAAAACTATTCTAAAAGGTGTGTCATGTTTTTGTTACATACATCTGATCAGTGTTATGGGCTGTAAAATGCATTGATGCAGTGATGGTCATCCACAAACCATTGGTAATTTCCATTTTCACCAGTGATGGATCCTGAGCATCGGAAAACAAGGATATGCCATTAAAAACATTAAGGGCTAACGGACCGCAGAGGCTCCATTCAGCAGTCAAATGTTCCCGGACAGAACAAAATCCATAAGAGAATATATGCAGAGAAGATTTGCCTTGGACCTGAAGCTTCGATGCAGGAAAGAGAACAAAAATTTCTACAAGCAATACTCCGGAACTAAGCGGTAGCATCGGCAAGATTTCCTGACTTTGCAATCGATTTATATTTACCATTTGTTTTGTTGTCATATTTTGATGACTGTATATATTTACACTTTTTTATATGCACATTTAATGATTTTGAAGAACTCCTTCATCGGTTTTGTTTGTTAACACTATATTTGTCATTACTACATTTGCTCAGGTAACATTTTTGTTTTCCTTATTTGTAGGAGTATTAATGATATAAGAATAATACGTTATTTGAATTATTCGTATAAATTCAAAAAAGCAACATTATATGAACTGATGATTTATCTCATATTCACAAAATATCTTGCATACACTTACATTTGCTAAGAACTCCAATATAACAATTACTTATAACATTTTTAAACATTTGCGCAATACTTTCGTCAATCAACATAATAAAAATGTTTCTTTTTGTTTTCTGTATCTATGCTAAATGCATGAATATACTTACTTGTATATTTTAAAAACGTCACTTTTTGTAAATACTCGTTGAATTTGTAATTCTCTTTTTTAAAGAATAAATAAATAAATGAATAAGACATTAATTTCATAATACATGTATTGCCTTTAACATTGATGTGGAGGCTCGAAGGGAAAATATAATGATTTCAGATAAATGACCGTCCTGCATGTAAAACATTTATTAGTTGTCTCGCTTAAAGTCAAAATTTCGCAAATTCTATGTTCGATATAATGACCTTATCAGCAAATACAATTTATCGTTAATTAGAATGATTACTGACGTTTTTCATACAAATTGTTTGGCCATTATTTTATCACTAAATTGTCTACGGATTTCCCCATTTGCCCAATCATGATTAGGAGCACACAGCGGGAGTGACCGGTGGACATGGGATGCTTACTCACTCCTTCATTGCACCTGATCCCACCTTTTATGCTTTAAGAGGTCCGTGGTTTGATCTGCTTCTACTTTGTATTGTTTCCATGGTCTTTTGAGCTTAATTACTGTTCGTTATTTTCATATCTTATAAAGCATTATAAGGGATCGATATTACACGTTCAATGATTACTATGATTTTGTATGGTTTTACAATGGCATCTAAAGTAGTTAAAACATATAACGCAATACGTTTTAGGTCATTTGATCCAAAGTTCAGAGTAGATTTCTTTAATGTTATGTTCCTTGTTTGTTATTTTGTATCTATATTTCCATCCTCGTCTTCGGAGCCACTTCGGTAATTTAAATTCAGTTTGCAACAAAGAGTAAAATTGGACTTCAATGTATTCAAACAAGCACTATATAACGTACTCGAAGGAATCAAAATAACTGTAATAAACCATAGAACAAATAGAGTGGATTCGAGTTTGTTCTAATGCCCAGGGCAAGTTAAACAAAAGCGCATACGATGTGTTCCCGTTTTGCACACATTTGATAATTAGGTATAGAACAAAAGGTTGAAATATGTTTTGATAGCAATTATAGTCTGATCTCCGTCTGGGATTTACCTGGAATTACCTGTTTTTTACCAATGCATTATAATATAAATTTACAAGAATAAATTTTGAAAGACAAAATATCCTTTTCGTAGTTCGCTTTATTTTTTTTTTTTACTTCATAAAGATAATAATGAATGAGTAAATGAATTTATTCTTATTTAATTAAAAAGAAAGAGAGTGAGAGACAGAGATAATCATATGAAAAATGAAATAAATCAATTAAAGTATCATATGCAAAATTAATCATTTTTTATTCCTATTCTTTCCATAGATTCTCTTTCTCCAAATTCACAGCTATGATATAGACTATATCAATTAAGTAATTATTTTACCTGGACAAATTCCCGTTTTGCACACCTTTTTTCAATACCTGAAATTCAAATGAGTGCAAAACGGGAACAAACCGCGCATACATATCTATAATGAAGAAAAGGCGCGTATATTATTTCTATAAAAACTCAAACATCATTCTTGTAGGTTTGGTGTAAGGACAAGGTCCCAGTAGAATTCATAAATTAGATTAGAAAATATATGAAATCCTTTATTTAATTAAAGCAAGTTTATTACCTTGAGAAAACCAAACTGCAAATAAATCCATGAAATGTATCTCATTATTTACTGTTTGGTAGAAAGACGTCACAAATTATAAGAGCTGAGGATTGTCAGATTGTCACCCTAGGGCGCAAACTCCCTCAAGTGACAAACCTACTCAGACCAGACCAATTTGTGATGTTTTTCTACTAAAGAAACAGTCTATAAAATTTTGTATAAGATCTCACGCGATCTTATTTACTTATTAATTCAATACTTTTTAACCTGAGTGTGTATCCCTTCCCAAAAAAAATCATCCACATACTACATATATTGTACATTTTGATTATTTTTCATTATAAAAGTATTTTTCCTCCGACATTGTTTTTGTCATCACTATTTATAAATATAAAGGTTTATCTTTTTATATACGTTCAATGGATGAATGTTACTGTTTATAAAATTTATTATGATATATTAATATAGTTTATAAGATACTATGACGAGTGGAGGACTTTCCGACCTAATTCAGGGAAGAAAGAAAGTTGTAATTAGTTCTGCAGAGTTAAATTTTGTTATTTCAGGTATAAACTGTGAATTTTTCCCTTGCGAAAGATGAAAAATAGTGGGGTTCCTAATAAAAGCCAAATTACTTATGGAAATCTTTGTACATGTTTGTTGCAGATTTTCCCCCACTTTCCTTCCTGTTAACTGGTTGCGGTAGCATAGTGGTAGTGCGTTCGCTTCCTGATCGGGAGGTACCGGGTTCGATTATCGTTCCCGGCGACGCAAAAAAATGACCTTAACATACAAAGGTACATGAAGTGACTCTTCCTTCGTCAAGCACCCTGCATTAGAAGTGAAAGTCACGATCGAGTCTTTCGGATATGACCTTAAAGGTGCCTAGTCACAGATTTGAAGTTAATATTTTCTCAAATTTCCGTATAATATCATGACTTATATGTTCCTATAGCATTTCACACGGAAATATAATTTTGAAAAATATATATTTTATATGGAAATTATTGAAACTACGAATTTGGGGACGCGTTTGATTGACACATCTTTGCACTTTCACAAAGTAAACTTTATCCTTAATACTTTACGAAAAGTAGAAATTTTGTTTATTAATGAAAAATATTAAAACTATAATCCAGAAAATTCAGAGTAGAAATGTGAGAAAGCAAAACCAACTCATCATTTCGTCAGTCCGTGCTCAGTGATGTGTGCAGATTTTAACAAATTGAACACACCCGATGAAACAAACAGAGATCGTGCCCTATTTACAAAAACAGTTTAGGTTCCACCGGGTCTGTTCCCTGTCACGGCTGACTTTGGCACGATAGAAAACCCCCGCTGTTCAGTGGCCCTAAGTGCCGATTATAGGTTTAAATTTGAAGCCTTTCACTGGCATAAGGTGACGTCTCTCGATATGACTGAAAAAGTTATCGAATGGGATGTGAAATAACATATAATCAATCAATCAACCATTCCGGTTACGTTTATGTCGGACGCTTCTTTGTAGTAGTTTTCAATATTTGTGAAAAAAAATCATCGTTTCAATAATCTTACAATTATAAAATCAATCGATTTTGGTTACAAATATAGCTGGGGGGGGGGGGGGTTAAATTCGTATAATAATGAAAGTCTTTAGCCTGATTTATTTATTTCTTCATTTTTATTTATCCCCATTTTTCTTCTTGTTTTTTTTTTAATCTATCGAGTCGAATTTCAAACTTTCGTAAATGAAAGATATGATGATATGAGAGAGTTTCTATGACATCAGCTCTACTTATGATTGCTCGCTGATAATCTAAAACTATTTAATTCACAAATGTGATTTTGTAAGATAAGTTTAGTTAATGAAGGTATTCATTATAAGCGTACATAAGTGGGTTTTTTTTTTTTGTTTGGTTTTTTGTTTTTTGTTATTCATTTTAAATAAAATTACCTGTATTTATTTTGTCGGACAATATTTGTGACTGAATTATG